TTCTCAAGCCCACACCTAGCCCTGGCCGGCGCAGCCGACGCCTCCAGCGCCTGGTGCTCCACAGTGCTTTTCCAAAACCCATACGCAGCACGAGCCTGATGCGCCGGCACCCCAGCATACCCAGCAAATCCGCCCAGCGACACAGCGCCCAAAATACCATCCACGCGCTCATCGCACTTCATTCTCTTCTCGCCTGCAACCATAAGCCCCTCGGGCGACGACGGTCTCTTCCGCACCTCCTTCTCCTTCCGCCGCTGTTGCCTGCGATCAAACTCCTCCCCAATCCATTTCTCCTTAGCCTCCGAGGCCTGGGCGCCGTATAGCTGGTTGGCGCGTTTGGTGACGCGACACCGGAGATCGTTGTCCTTGTTGCGCTCTTCGTTGACTTGGCGCCAGCGTTTTTTGCGCTCGCGGTTTTCCAGCCGCATCTTCTCCAAGACTTGGTGCTTTGTGGTTGCGGCTGTGGCTGCGGTGAGGTCGTCGTCGTGGCAGATGGACTGCTGCTGGTCTTTGGGCCGTGAGGGGTGCTGTTGGTTGCGTAGTTGGCTTTTGGTTTGGTGCTGGATTTGTGTGCGGTGGCTGAGCACCTGTTTGGAAAACGTACGCGCTGAAGACAGCATTTTCTTAATTGCCTGTGGAAAAATTGTGTTCAAGGCTTGTGAGAATAAAAAATGATGATAATAATAATAGGGAAAAAATAAAATGTTATTAAATAAAATACGCGAGTCAAAAAACAAGAGCAAAAATAAAATAAAAATTGTCCGCTTTGTCTTCATAAGCATGCTAGCGTTTCTCCCCCATTTTTTCTATATTTACTGCTCTCACATCTTGTTGTTCAATCCAATCAGCATCAGCAATCAGCAACCAAAAGCGTATCACGTTGGTAGAATTGCAATAATCTTACGATATTTTTCCATCTTTTAAAAAAGTCATTTTAAAGAGAGAGATAGGGCCACTCTAGAATAATTAAAGAATAGTATAAAATGACTGCTTTTTAGCTCTTTGTGGTGCTTTTCATGAATAATCAGGCAATTATTTTACTTGGCTGTGTGGTTGCGTGTGTGGAGGAGGAGGGGTAGTGACTGTTAATTTTTTGTTTTTAAAAGGGGTGTCGTGCGACAAAGTTGTTGTGACTCAGTGAGCAATTTTGGGAAGAGCTGCTCCATTTGCCCCCCACCCCCTCTCTCTCAAGCTTACGCTAATAGAATTTTAGGTATTTTTTAAAGCCTTCTCCTGTGCACAGGTAGGTGCATTTTGGTCAGCACTCCCTCACCCAGTGGAGCTCTTAAAAGCTAGAACCCCCCCCCTGAGGAGATACTCCATATTCCGTGCTCCGCGCGATAATCCCGCTGGGTGGGTTTTCTCGGCTATCTGCCGGTCTTTTTCTGTAAGTCCTGAGTCCTTGGCACACAAAATAAAAAGCCAAGGACCAAAGAAAACAGGTGAGCATAATTGCGGGTGATCCGCTGATTGCGGATGGGAGGTATTGTGATCCTATGATTAAGTCAAGTTAAACATAACAACAACAACAACAGCAACAGCAATGGCAACAGCAACGGCAACGGCAGTAGCAGTGTGTTCGGGGGGAAAACACGCTGACTCTGACAAAAGGGAAATGTCTCAATTGCACTCTCCAATTTCTATTAGCGAATTATTAGCCTTTCCCCTCTTTTTTTACAACCGATGGGCACGCCAGAGCCCAAGGCCATTGCGGCCAGCACAAGCACAGGCGCAAGTACAGGCGCAAGCACAGGCGCAAGCACAGGCGCAAGCACAGGCGCAAGCACAGGCGCAAGCACAGCTTTAAATTCAAGGACAGCACCAGGCAGCCACCAGCGCAGCGCTCACACCCACACAAAGCGCGGCAAGGGCGGCACGCGGTGCCCACACATCGGCAGCAAAACAAAGGCGATCATCGACCGGCTCAAAGTGCTCGTGCCATACGCCAACGTCTGCAAGCACCGCCAAGCGCTGCTGCAGGGCCGCCGCGGCGCTGGCAGCACCCTGGCGGCAGCCGTCCTGGGCGAGCGCGAGCCGACGCCCGCAGCAGCCACCGCCGGCGAGGGCGACCGCAGCCGCAAGCGGCTCGTCGACGAAATGCCGGCTCCCACATGCTCCGCCTGCCACTCGCCAGGCGACCGGCTGCACGCGTGCCTGTCCTGCGACGAGTTTGCATGCTGGCGCCGCGCACGACCGCAGCAGCAGCAGGCGCGCAGCACCGAGCCTCACATTGTCCAGCACCTGCGGTCATCGCGGCACCAGTTTGCACTTGACTTTGTGCACCTGGCGGTGTTCTGCCTCGACTGCAGCGACTACGTGTACGATGCCGCGATTACCGCGTGGCTGCTGGCGGCGCAGATCCGATGGCACGCGGCGCTGTGCGACTCGGCCGAGCCTGAGGCCAAGCGCCCGCGCATCGTCTCCACCGGAGCCGACCTATCACCAGCGCAGACAAAGTACCTGCGCGAGCACGGCGCCGTCCAGGCATGCGGCGGCGTTCGCGGGTTGCTGAACCTCGGCGCCACGTGCTACCTCAGCGTTGTCCTGCAGGCGCTCGCCCATAATCCGCTGGTGCGCGGCTGGATGCTCAGCGACGGCCACCACCCCAGCACGTGCCGCGTCGGCCGCAACGCCCAACAGCAGCAGCAGCAGCTGAAGGAACAGGCGCCTGTCGCCTGCATGGCCTGCGAGCTCGAGGCTGCGCTCCAGGCGTTCCACTCGGGCGACGCCGCGCCCCTCGCCCCGGTCGGGCTGCTGCGCACAATGTGGCTGCTGCGCGGCGACCTCGCCGGCTACGGCCAGCAGGACGCGCACGAATGGCTGATGGCCCTGCTCGACACGCTGCACGTCGGGCTGACCGAGAACGCGCTTATGGGCAATGGCGGCGACACTGGCGGCGGCGGCGCGCACGCGCACTCACACCTGCACCCCTGCGCCTGCCTGGTGCACCAGGCGTTCGCCGGCGTGCTGCAGAGCACCGTCACGTGCTCGGGCTGCGGCAACACCACGCACGCGCACGACCCAATGCTGGACATCTCGCTGGACATCCCCGCGCGGCCAGCCCTGGGCGCACGCGCAATCGACGCCTCGCTCAACGAGTGGCTGGAAACGCGAACGGAGCGCGGCGCGCGCACCACGCGGCGCGGCACAGGCGCGCGCGCCAACGCGTCGCTGACCCGCGGCCAACACCCGGTGCTGACGCTACACGACTGCCTTGCGCATTACACGCGCGCCGAGCCGCTGGCGTCCGGCGCATATGCGTGCAGCCGGTGCGGGGCCAGTAGCGGGTCGGCAGTCAAGCAGCTGTGTGTTAAGGAGCTGCCGCCTGTGTTGACGTTTCAGCTGAAGCGGTTTGAGCACACGGCTGGTGCGCGGCCAAGCGCTGCGCATGCGGCTAAGGTTGACGCGTACGTGCGGCTCCCCTTGCTCGTCGACATGACGCCGTATACGGCGGCGGCCTTGGCGGCGCACAGCCAGACGGCCGCTGGGCTGCGCGCCGCCGCCGGCCATGCCACCAGCAGCACCGGCAGCGCATTGGCGGCGTCCGTCGGCGGCATCGCCGTGAATGACCGCACCGGGCTCGATCACAGCGGCGTTTCGCGCGACACGCCGATCCCCGTGCTGGACGGCCCCGGCGGCAGCGCCACGCTGGGCAAGCGGCGCACCGACGCTGTGCACTCCAACCCAGCCTGCCAGTACGCATTGTTCGCCGTCATCGACCACATTGGCCACTTGGACACCGGCCACTACACGGCGTATGCGAAGCACCGCGGCCAATGGTTCAAGTTTGATGATGCTGCTGTGACCCCTGCGGATATCCGTGATGTACTCGGCTTGGCTGACGAGACTCGCGCGCGCCAGGGATTATCAGCCAAGGGCAGGGCGTATATGGCCTTTTACGTTAAAACTACGCTGGACTACCACGACGGCGCGCCTGGCCCTGTGCTGCCTAATTCGGCCGGCCGCGACTCAGTGCCGCCGCTGCCGCCGCCGATGGCTGCTATGGGTTCCGGCAACACGCGTATTGGCGAGACTGGCGAGTGGATCGAGGACGCCGGCGTTGTGCGCACGCGCGTCAATCCTGCCGGCGACGTCAAGGTCGAGCGCCGCGGCCGCAAGAAGGGCAGCACCAACGCCGCTCGTGCCAAGCAGCAGCAGCAGATGCAACAGCAACAGCAACAGCAACAGAAAAAGAAACAAATGCCGCTGCCGGAATCTGGCGAAATCCGCCCCGCTACTAAGAAAATACCCCACCAAGCACGGCACATCCACAGTATCGCCAATGACGACGACGAGGAGGAGGAGGGCGAGGAGGGCGAACTGGAGGAGCATGCAGATGAGGAGGAGGAAGGCGAAGTGGGCTATGCTTTTGGCAACGGCCGAAACACCAACACCACAAGCATCCCTGAAGAATCATCGGACTCCGACGGCGAAGCACTGTGGGCGCGGATATCCAAAGAAAAACCCACAGATCTTGCCCCCATGGTACAGCCTCTGCTGCCGATGACCGATGACCGCCCGATATACGTTAATCCGAGTGATCTGAATGATTTGAGTGTTTCTTCGTCGTCGATGTCGATGTCAATGTCGATGTCGATGCAATTCCAATCGCATATGATGAACCCACCATCTGTGCCGAAGCCTAGTGCCAGGGCAGTTGCCTTTTCAGTCGATGAGAACTATGTTGATGATGGGGATGAGGAGGACGAAGAGGAGGATGCGGAAGAGGAAGAGGAGGAGGAAGACGATGATGATTTTGACGATGTCAGTGATTTTAATTAATACGTTGCTTTCCCATCCAAATTATTTTTATGTTAGTTTATTCAAAGCGTGGTAGAATAAAGAAAGAAAGAAAAAGGTGGTATTGCATGTGTATACACTGACGCCCATATATTCTTTCAAGTTGATGCCAATAAAAAACATTGCTTTTTTTGGCTGCGAATCGATTGACAGGCTGAATGCTAGCATACCCCAAATGGCCCAGAATAGGCTCAAATGGATCGATTAGACCAATGTCGTATTTTTATCTGATTAGCTGTGCCCACCCTATAACGCGGCTCATGCTAGCATATATTAAATCGATATACTGTTAATGTAAGAGCATGCTGCATACTTTCAGTCTTGTTTTATTATTTGCCCGTGCTAATTTTCATTCTAGCAGTATTAATTTTTTGTTTTTTGAATAGTTTATGTTGGTGAGAAATAAAAATAAGGATGAAAAAGATATAATGGGGTGATTCGTGAAATTGAGGGTTGATTCGGCCTTGGTGTAAGAGTCAGCATGGCTTCCATGCCTATGGTGCTAGCATCGCCATTGATGAAGCTTGGGAACCATTTTTCCCATCATTGCTGGCGGCTAGCAGTGGCTTTTGTGCTTTGTGCACCTGTGGCACTGATGGATGTGTCGCAATTTTGCTGGTGGCAGCCTTTTGTACCCTGAGGATTTGTGCTACTCAGACCCTGACCAGCCGCGCAGTAATAAAAAATAGGTGGTATAATAAATATACTCAATAGTATTCACTATAATGGAGCTAAACAAGCTCACCTTAAACGATTAGAGCGTAAACAATTGTTGGAATATAGGAACGTTCTATGAACGTGTATATAAACTATAAACATGTAAAGTATATTTAATAACAAGTGCTATGCACTGTATGAGGTAAAGAGTAGAAAGCATATTGCTTTGGTCACTGTGTGACTTATTGTTTGTGTTGCTAAACAGCCAAGACTGGTTAATCAGTTGATCACTATCAACCAATAACAATACAATACAGCTGCAATTGGTAATAATTGTGGCTTTCATATGACATTTCCCTATTTGATGTCACATGTGGCTGCTGAAAAAGAATGTGCATGTTCGGCATGGTCCCCCACAAGGGGTGTTGATTGGGTGGGTACTCATTCAATGCTTTCTTATTTTTCACTCAATTCATCCCTCAATAATATTCAATTTTCATTCATAATATTCAGGTTCAGCACTTCATGATGGAGAAAGTACACACTCTACCAGATAGTCTCCTGGTCGGATTATGTCCCAAAGTTGGACATGAGATTGGTGCTGATGATAATTCAAATGCGAGGCAGTAGTTGTACCTGTTAACGGGTGAATTGTGAATAGCTAGACTGATCTTATATTATCTAAAAACTAGCAAAAGAAAAGAGAGAGCTAGTTGTTTTGCCCTTTTTATGGCTGTGAGTCTTAGTGTTCACAAAGAAAAGGGCAACTGATGGGCATTGGGCTATAAAGTAAATGTGTCCCCAACAGACTTCCCACTGTGGTAGCAGTCCTGGAGGCTTCCTACTCTGAGCTTGAGCATCCGAAAAATCTTGGCAACTCCATCCAGCCTTTCCTTACTGAGTAGCACCACGGCAATAAACCCTCTCATGGTGTCCATCTGTGCTACCCTCTTGGCCAATGCCTCCATTATAACCTTTGCTACCAGTGTCGGAGTCACTCCCGCCTCTATTGGTTTGGTCGACGACCATCTCCAATTCGTTTCATTCCTATTCACCAGTTTGGACCTCTGGCTGGCCCGTTGGCTGGGTTTCTGGCTGGGGCCTGGGTTGCTCACCACCACTCACTTGGCGGATGAGGAACTTCTGCATCTGGATAACTGACTG